TTATCCAGACCAAAAAAATCAATACAGATGCATCAGAGCTGAAACATACTATAGAGCAAATGCACCTAACAAACGGTTATAGGCCATTTCACCAAAGAGCTACAGAATACACATTACTCTCACCAGCACATGGATCGTTTTCTAGGATAGACCACATATTAGCCCACAAATCAAATCTCAACAAATTTAAAAAGACTGAAATCATAATATGTATCTTCTCAGATGATAAAGGAACAAAATGAAAAATCAACAAGAATAGGACATTCATCAATACTTGGAAATTAAACAGCATGTCACTGAAGAAATTAAAAAGGACCACTGAAGAAATTAAAAAGGAAATCAAAAACTTTTTTGAAATACATGAAAATGAAAACACAACATATAAAAACCTGTGGGGTAAAGCAGCCACCTGCACTGCCAGTATTCCATATGAACGCTGGTTCGAGTCCCAGCTTCTCCACTTCCAACCCAGCTCTCTGCTATGGCCTGGGAAAGCAGTATAAGATGGTCTGAGCCCTTGGACCCCTGTACCTGTTTAGGGGACCAGGAGGAAGCTCCTGGCTCCTGGTTTCTCTGGCCATTGCAGCCATCTGGGCAGCAAACCTGCAGATGGAAGACCTCTCTCTTCCTCTCTCTCACTCTCCCTCTCTCCCTCCCTCCTTTTGCCTCTCTGTAACTCTGCTCTTAAAATAAATAAATGAATCTTTAAAAAAAAAAAAAAACCTGTGTGATACACCAAAAGCAGTATTAAGAGGGAAGTTTATAGCTTAGTGCTTATATTTAAAAAAGAGAAATGTCTTAAAGATATAATGATGCATCTTGAACACTTAGAAAAACAAGAACAAATCAAACCTGAAATCAGCAGGAGGCAACAAATAATAAGGATTAGAGCAGAAATCAATGAAATTGAAACTAAAAGGTAACACAAAACATCAACAAAACAAAGTATTGGTTTTTTGAGAAGATAAACAAAATACATAACCTCTAGCCAAATTAACAAATTAAAATAGAAGAAAAAATGCAAGCAAATAAAATTAGAGATGAAAAAAGGAAACATTACAACTGATACCACTGAAATACAAAGGATCATAAGAAACTACTACGAAGAACTATATGCCAAAAAAATGGAAAACCTCAAAGAAATGGTTAAATTCCTAGATTCATATAACCTTCCAAGATCAGTTCAAGAAGATATAGACAACCTAAACATACCCATAACAAGCAATGAGATTGAAGCAGTAATGACAAGTGTTCCATCAAGGAAAAGTTCAGAACCTGGTTGCTTTACTATTGAATGCTACAAAACATTCAAAGAGGAAGTAACTCTAATACTCTTCAAACTATTCCAAAATATTGAATAGGATAGAACTCTGTCAAACTGTTTTTATGAGGCCAGCATTACTTTGATACCAAAACCAGATAAAGACATTACACACACACACACACAAACTACAGACTTATATTCTTAATGAACACAGATGCAAAGATTCTCAACAAAACAGTAGCACGTCAAATCCAAAACCACATCAAAAAGATCATTCACCACGATCAAGTGCGATTTACTCCAGAAATACAAGAGTGATTCAACATTCACAAATCTATAAACACCATAAATCACATCAATGGAATGAAGAAGAAAAACCACATGGTCATTTCAATAGATGCAGAGAAAGCATCTGCTAAAATTCAACACCCCTTCATGATAAAATCTCTCCACAAATTAGGTATGGAAGGAACATTACTCAAAATTATAAAGGCTATATATCATAAACCAACAGCCAGTGTCATACTGAATGGAGAAAAAAACCAAAAGCATTTCCCCTCAGATCTAGCACAAGACAAATATGTCCACTTTCACCACTTTATTCACTTGATAAAGTACTGGAAGTTTTAGCAACAGCAATTAGGGTGGCAAAAGAAATAAAGGATATCAAAATTGGAAAAGAGGAAATCAAATTATCCATGTTTGTAGATGACATAATATATGTAGTAAATGGAAAAACCTAAACAGTCCATCAAAAAAGCTGTTGAATTGATAAACCAATTCAATAAAGTTACAGGTAATAAAATAAACATACAAAAAAACAGTAGCTTTTTGATATGCTAATGATGAACTCACAGAAAGAGAAATCAAGACAGAAAGCCCATTCACAATAGCCATACAAAAAAGCAAACATTTAGGAATAAGTTTAACTAAAGAAAAATCTCTACAATGAAAATTATCAAACACTGATGAAAGAAATCACCAAGGACAGAAAAAAATGGAAAGATATTCTTTGCTCACTGATTGGAAGAATCAATATCATCAAAATGTCTATACTAACTAAAGCAATCTACAGATTCAATGCAATCCCTATCAAAATACCAATGGCATTCTTTACAAGGTTAGAAAAACAATCCTAAAATTCATAGGGAATTAAAAAAAATAGCTAAAGCAATCCTAAGCAAGAAAAATAGAGCTGGAAGCAACACAATACCTAATTTCAAAGCATAACAGTAATTAAAACAGCTTGGATTCCTGCTCAAGACAGGCCAAGGTGATCAGACATCACCTAGGAGATGGTAGAGGATGAAGAAGCTGATCAGAGATCAAAGGTAACCAGGTAGGTGGGGGTGGGGTGGAGGGGCTGTTGGGACTGAACTGGCTCAGCAGGGTTCCTTTGCTAAAACTGGTTTTTATAAGGAAGGGAACAGATGAGCCTAGGAGAAAGTTCAGCAGTCTAACTAAAGTTTGGCCAAGAAAAGAATCTTTATCACCACTTTGTTTTGTTTTGTTTTGTAAGATTCATTTATTTATTTGAAAGGCAGAGCTACAGAGAGGCAGAAGCAGAGGCAGAAAGAGACAGAGATCTTCCATCCGCCAGCTCACTCCCCAAATGGCCACAACAGCCAGAGCTGAGCAGACCCGAAGCCAGGAGCCAGGAGCTGCCTCTGGGTCTCCCACATGGGTGCAGGGGCCCAAAGACTTGGGCCATCTTCCACTGCTTTCCTAGGCCATAGCAAAGAGCTGGATTGAAGTGGAGCATCGACTCCAACCGGTGCCCAGATGGGATGCCAGCACTACAAACGGTGGCTTTACCCACTATCACCCACTACACCACAGCCCCGGCTGCACCACTTTTTTTTCAAGGGATGAGACACCCTGATAGCTGAGAAATGTGTTATAAATTACTTAGTAGCACTTTAAGTATACAAGCCTGCAAACACTATGCCTTTCTTTTTCAGGTATGCAGTATTGGGGAAACCATCCCATAATTACTGCCAATCCTCCAGCCTTACTCTCACTCTCAACTTTTCCTGGGTAGTCCCATAGAATTTCTGTCTTAGTCATCTTGAAAAGAAACCCTTCGTCCTCTTCTACTCTTCTCCCCTCTTACCTCCTCTTTGAAGTGGGAGACACTTAACTAATTGGCAAGCCTAAAGAAAGGGGCATTGGGCATGCCTAACTCAGGCCCTTACTGGCTTTCTCTTTGAAGATCCAAAGATCTACTGATACCAGCCTCCCTTCTCCAATACAGGTCTTTCCCATGGGATGAACACTACAAGTTGTCCAACTGCCTAAGAGTGGGTGGGAAAGTTTAATACCCTCATAGAGTAGGAAAAGAATATTAAGCCACATTCTCTTACAACAGCCATAAGTTAGTATTTCAACCCCCAACTTCAGCATTTATTTCTAAATCGTACGATAATTCAGAGAAGAAAAAAAATGACCAATTTGTCACCCCAACAATATAAATCAGAGCAGATTTTGTCATTCCTTTAATAGCATAATTCTCATTTTCCGTGCATCTTTTGAGTGGGAGACAAGAGACTTTAGCATCACCCTGAGTGTACCTGAACATATATTCCTCCTTGTATATTGCACAACAAAAGTCAACACCTATGGGAACAAGATCATACGTGTAGGCCACTGATCATCTATTGCCTTTACATTACTTCAAGTGGATGCATCTTTGTCTTCTAAATGACAACGTTTTCCTTGAATATTTACTTCAAGTTTTACTGAATATTTTTACGTACTCATTAAATAATTTAAGGTAATTTTATATATTAAATGAAGCTTCCTTTCATATCTCCAAAAGTCAAAGAAAATCATCACCTGTGGTAGGTTAAAGCCCTTTCTTTCATTCGAGAACATATATCTGGTGGTATATTTTAAAATAAAACTAGAGTCCAATTAGTTTAAAGAAGCAAATCTGTATAGAACCCATGAAAAATACATGAGGATACGTGAATAAATGTTTGCCTCTGGCTTGCCTTATAAACTATTTTTTTTCTTGTATTAATGTTGCTTTCTGTTCATTTCCTAATTTTTTCTGGCATCTAAAAAAATAAAAAAAAACCACAACCAATATTTAGCATTTAACAAATGCTCAGAAATCTTATTAATTTACCATGGACAATAGTCCTGGGTGCAAGTCCACATTAAAACAATTCACCCGATTTTATAAATACTCTGCCTTGTTCATTAGGAATTATGTTTACAGGATGATTCCTACTTCATAAAGCATTCAGACTAATTTTCATGTTTTTTTTTCTTTCTGTTAATTGCCAGGAGGATAATTACTGGTGTGGATTTCTGTTAGGAAAAACATCCCATTGGTAAATCTCAAGTACCACTAGTCTTCCATTTTGGGACAACTGTTCAACATATACAACAGAAAAGTATAGGTGGTCTTCCAGCTAGCTACACTTTTAGAACCAAGGGCAGAAATCCTAGAATAAGACAGATCTATATTCAATCCTCTCAAATTAGTTAAGTAATTTTGGGTAGCATACAATTAGAATTAGAGATTGTATAGTTTTAAATTCTCTAAGAGAAAAAACATTTAAGAACCATAACACATAGTATGTGTAAAACAAATAACAGTTATTCTAATCAGCTCAACAACAGTGCTAACACAGATGAAATGAAGGTCACCATGATTCATGGCATCCCTACAATATTTATTTAAAGAAACTCTGAGTAAGACATTATATTTGGTTTCAAGTCAACTTACCAAGACAGGAATACAAGCCTTGACTTATCCAAGCTAATATGGCCAGAGTTATAAGGTCACCAAAACTAGCTGCAATGGGTGTAGCAACATTATCAGGATTGATACCAGTCTTCTTTGAACCAACGATAACCCCAACCATTATTATTCCTGGAAGAAAGAATGTTCATTACTTTTTGTGCTATGATTTAAAGAAAAGCAATTCCCTAAATGCCAAAATATGTAGGACAGACGAACAGCCTATCAGTTCTAGTTAGAATGTTTTAGTGAGTTGACAAAAGCAAACAAAACATTTTATGCCCAGGCAAAATGGTTTTCACCAAATTCCAAAGGACTCATAAGAGATTTGAAAAATTCAATGATGTTTTTAGATATCTGAAAAGTATTGTAAAAGTTACAATAAATCTGAAATTTCAAATTTAGTAACATAGGTGTCTCAAATCTAATCAGATTTGTGTGTATTAAACCCAAAGATTTTACCTTTAAACCTAAATGAAGTATAAAATACTAAAGAAAGCTGAGTCATGTATAGGAAGATCACCAACAGAAACAGATTTGTTCACATATGGTAGCTAGAAATGCTTGCATTTATTATTTAAAGTGTTGAGATACTAAGAAGCAGGAAGTAATTAAATTTTGAACACTAAAAGCCAGTACACAAGAAATAGTCTTTGTTGAAGATACTCTTTTAACCCAAAGCTTCTATCTATAAACAGACAAAAACAGAGCAAAATGTGACTATGTACTTGCACTTAAATTACCATTGAATCCTACAAATGGGAGAAAAATCAACATTTACATTAAAACATAATTGTATAGATTTTCCCATGCTAACACATTAAGGGAATGCAGGACAGAGAAAATCTAAAATGTTTAGTTTATTTATGTATTAACTATATATCAGTATGGAATTTTTAGAGTAAAAATAACTTTTTATTCCTGCATGTTCATTTTATGGATAATGATAGCAAGGTTCTGGGATAGGGTTTAAATGTTTGCGTAAGTGCATAGCTTGTATGACTCTAGTCAGTGCTTTTAATACTGCCCCATGAAGTCAAAACTTTTTTCTTTTCTTTTTTTTAGCTTTATCTATTTGAAAGGCAGAGTTACTGAGAGAGGCAGAACAGAGGCAGGGGAGGGGGCAGACACAGAGGCACAGAGTGAGATAGAGAGAAAATATCTTCCATCCACTGGTTCATTCCCTAAATGACTGCAGCAGCCAGGACTGGGCCAGGCCGAAGCCAGGAGCCAGGAGCTTCCTCCAGGTCTCCCACATGGTGCAGGAACCCAAGTACTTGGGCTACCTTTTGTTGTTTTCCCGGGCACATTAGCAGGGAGCCGGATCAGAAGTAGAGCAGCTAGGACTTGAACTGGTGCCCATGTGGTATACTGGCACTGCAAGTGGCAGCTTTACCCACTATTTCACAGTGCCCACCTCAAGTAAAAATTTTTAAAAACTAGAATTTTTGTCCTCAAACAATGCCTCATATCTTATACTTTGCAGTTTTTTTCAATCACTGAACTTACTTTCACATATATCATTGTAAAAAGGAAAAATAGCAATAGCAGAAAAGTTTTAGGAATGTATTATTCAACAATCAGACAAGATGTGATTTGCTGCATATTTTTTCCAAAATCAGCACATTTAAAGATCTATATGGCCGGCACCGCGGCTCACTAGGCTAATCCTCTGCCTTGCGGCGCCGGCATACCGGGTTCTAGTCCCGGTCGGGGCGCCGGATTCTGTCCCGGTTGCCCCTCTTCCAGGACAGCTCTCTGCTGTGGCCCAGGAGGGCAGTGGAGGATGGCCCAAGTGCTTGGGCCCTGCACCCTATGGGAGACCAGGAGAAGCACCTGGCTCCTGCCATCGGATCAACTCCGCGGCGGCCATTGGAGGGTGAACCAACGGCAAAAGGAAGACCTTTCTCTCTGTCTCTCTCTCTCACTGTCCACTCTGCCTGCCAAAAAAAAAAAAAAAAGAAGATCTATATGGGAAGTTCTCTTGTGATACAGTGCCATCTCTATCTTTACAACAGAAAAACAAAAAAAAGTTTTGATGGCTGTTGGCATTGTGGTACAGCAGGTTAAGCCACTGCCTGCAACACTAGCATCCCATACTGGGTGCCTGTTCAAGTCCCAGCTGCTCTGTTTCTGATCCAGCTCACTGCTAATGCACCTGGGAAGGCAGGGGAAGATGACTCAAGTCCTTAGGCCCCTGCATTCACGTGGGAGATTCAAATGGAGTTTCAGGTTTCTGGCTTTGGTCTGGCCCAGCCCTGGCTGTTGCAGCCATTTAGGGAATGAACCAGCAGATTTAAGATCTCTTTCCATCTCTCCCTCTAATTATGCCGTTCAAAAAATAAGATAAATCTTTGAAAAAAAAAGTGTTGCATACATCATGGTATAGTACAAGGAGCTGGGAGTCGGGAAACTTGGATTTTAATTCTCATTCTGAAGCTGACAAGATGCTGAAACTGGACAATCCTCTTACCTGTCTTAGTCAATATTCTAACCTACAAAATGTGGCAGATAGTATCTACTTTGCATAATAGTATCAAGTTATCATAAAATTAGAATATGCATTATTTAAAGCAAGAAGCTTTAAATAAATGTTTTTAAATCTGAGCTTTTTAAAACTCTGAGTTTTGAAAATACTAGACATTTCAAATAGTTGTTAAACTGTAAAATATTAACATTTTCTAAATGAAACAAAATCTGAAAGAAAACAAAATCAAATGAACCCAATGAAAAAAGTGCTGATGTTAAAACTATTTTTTAACCAGAAATATAATTTTTCAGTAGCTTAACTTCATTCTTGTGTAGGCAGTGTTAATGCCATTCAAATCTAATAATTTTATATAAAAACAAAAACTACCCCTGATACTATTTAAGTACTTACATGAAATGCTTGAAAATATTTTTGGAAGTCTTAATTTTATTAAGACTCCCTGAATTCCCAGGACCTATCTTAAAAAGTCAGCTTCAGTGTATGATCACCCAACATTAGACTTTCAAGCCTTTACGGTACAATCCTATATTAAGTTAATTCTCTACTGTAAAACACATACTAATAAATAAATACAATAAAGAATAACCCAGGGCTGGAGCTGTGGCATAGCAGGTAGAGCCGCTGCCTGCAATATCAGTATCCCATATGGGCACCAGCTCAAGTCTAGGCTGCTCCACTCTCCACTTCCGATCCAACTCCCTGCTGATAGCCCGGGAAAGCAGTCAAGAATGGCCCAAGTGCTTGGGCCCCTGCACCCACCTAAGAGATGTAGAAGAAGCTCCTGGCTCCTGGCTTCAGATCAGTCCAGCTCTGTCTATTGCAGCCATTTGGGGAGTGAACCAGTGGATGGAAGATATCTTTCTCTCTCTTTATCTCCCCTTTCTCTCTAACTCTGCCTTTCAAATAAATAAATAAATCTTTAAAATAAAGAAGAAGCAGCACCAACTGAAAAGCTCTAATGCAGTTAATTTTTAAAACATTTAGACTCTTTAAAATTCTATAGCCAACAATATGCTGTCTTAAGATTGTATTTTTATTGCTACAGAAAAAGTAAAGAATCTCTTTGAAATCTGGACTTAAGCAAATTTTAACTGAGGGACTATCTTTAAAACCCAGAATTCCTAGAACACTTGTTGTTAACTCAAGTGACAAGCCAGGAAATCCCCTATGTAATTTCCAAAAGGGAGTTTTTCCAGTAATTTAACTCACAGAAATGAATGTCTAAGCTATTTCCTGATCTTATTTGGCAGCTATACCAGAGAGCCTAAGGTCAGGAGACCACTGCAGAAAGACTGTTCTATGCTAATGCTTATAAGTTTTAAAAGCATCAAAATAATTCAGTTATTTTTAAAGTTTGTGGGTAAGTTTTTTCTGTTCTTTTCATAATGAATAAGTATTTTTTTTTTAAATCATCTCAAGAAACAAATCACTTAAAAGTACAAGACCATAGGTATTTACAAATCCACTTACCCTGCAGGAGAGATGCGATGAAGGCAGTTGCCACGCTGCTGGAGCACAGAAGTATGGAATGATCAAGGTAGTATTTTCCTTCTGGAATCCAGCCCAGTATAATTGCGGCCACAGCTGCTAGAAAACCAACGACTGTTGCCTGCACCTAAATTTTTTTTTATAAAATCCAACTGAATTATTAATTTAAAAAACATACTTGAAAGGTTTTTGCTTATATAAACATTGCATACAAGAACACAGAAGAAATACTGCATATGGTAAGTGAGCTGCTTTACCTCTGAAAGAAGCTACTATATTTTTTTAATATTTCCTAAGACAGTAGGTTCTCCAACTGACCTGATCTGGTGGCAACAGGCATAAAATGGGATCAAGGAATCTGTTTTTAATAAGCACCCCAAATGGTTTCAATGGTCTGATCCACACCAAAGAAAACAATACCTTCAGCCTGAAAAGCACCCAATCCACTTATCTGCAATTTGATTCAAAAACAGTGTGAACAAGAGATTGGATTTTATAGTCAAATGATAGGTTCTACCACTTAATCCTATGGCAAGTTATTTAGATCCATTCATTCAACTAGCACTTATTTAGACTCTATCACATACAAGATGTTATGTTTAGTATTGGACTACAACAGCAATCGAAACAGATTTAGTCCCTCTTCTCATAGAGTTCTTGGTCCTCAGGAAAGACAGATATTTCAAAAATAGCCTCACAAGCAATCACTATGGTGATTAATGTTTTAAAAACTTTCAGTTTCAGGGCTGGTGCTGTGGTGCAGCAGGTTAACATCCTGGCCTGAAGCGCCAGCATCCTATATGGGTGCCGGTTCGAAACCCAGCTGCTCACCTTGTGATCCAGCTCTCTACTATGCCTGGGAAAGCAGTAAAAGATGGCTCAAGTGCGCGGGCCCCTGCAGCCGCATAGGAGACCCGGAGGAAGCTCCTAGCTCCTGCCTTTCGGATCAGCGCAGCTCCAGCTCTTCAGCCAATTGGGGAGTGAACCATCAGATGGAAGATATCTCTCTCTCTCTCTCTGCCTCTCCTTCTCTGTGTAGCTCTGACTTTCAAATAAATAAATAAATCTTTTTAAAAAATTTTTCAGTTTCAACACAGGCACTGTGGTATAGCAGGCTGAGCCACTGTCTGCAGCACCCACATTCTATATGGGCACCAGTTCCAGTCCCGGCTGCTCCACTTCCAATCCAACTCCTTGCTAACGGCCTGTGAAAACAGCAGAGGATGTCTCAAGTCCTTGGGCCCTGCACCCACATGGGAGACGAGGAGGAAGCTCCTGGCTCCCAGCTTAGGCCTGGTATGGCCCAGCCCCGACCACTGGGCCATTTGGGGAATGAACCAGTGGGTAGAAGACCTCCCTCTGTATCTCTCTCTCTTTCTCTTTCAAATAAAAAAATAAATAAATAAACTTTTAAAAAGGAAAGAAAAAAACCTACAGTTTCTAATCTGTAAGATGGCAGTGATATTAACAAGCTTTATACATTTATGTAATGAATTTAAATCTCAAAGCGTTTCTCATGTGCTAACACAAAGCAACACTCAAAAAACTACAAATAACTCTAGGAATCAGACGAACACAATGTCAGAACTAAAAGAACCCCTAAGGGAATCATTTATTCTGCTGATTCTTCACTGCGTTCGCCACGTGGACCCTTTGGCAACCTGGTGAAAACTCTACAGAATACAGTTCTCCAGGGCTACAGAAGCACTCATGTTTTGAATACAATTTCTTGGTGTTCACAGACTCACAGAAGCCAATCCACAAACTGGAATCAAGTGCTCTGAGTGAAAAATTCCCGAATAAGTTTGACTTTGCCATATGGCACATTAAAGGGACAGACAGAAACAGACAGTCCAGATAACCCAGATTCACATATTCATTCGTTCTATATGCTAAATCATAGTTCTCAACCACTTATTAGAGCTCTTGTTGATGTCACCCACAGATTCAGAGCTCAGATTCAAGCTATAAGCACCACTGCAACTGTAGTGGTTGTTAAAATAATTCAGCATTTTTATATTGGTTAATAAATAACAAAATAATAGTACCTTAAAGTAGTAAAATTAATAATATAAATTCTAATACTGTGATTCCAAGTCTTTTCTGGTTTGACACTCTAACACAAGGCTAGGGAACTGCTGCAGGTATCGCAGTGTGAGTGTGTGTTTCTAAGGAAACAAAAGCACACAGCTGAGATGAGGAACTCCTATTCTGTAAACCTACAAAAAGATGACTGCTTGAAAAATAACGGTACCCAAGAGAAAGCAAAGTCTGGGTTCAAGTAGTGGCTGGGGGGTTAATGGGAGATACTGGTGCAGGGCATACCCCTTGTGGTAAGGTAACAGTTCCTCAGATGGAACTGTGCACTTTGCTTTATTTGACAAATTATACACTGGCCCCAGCAGCTATTCTGTAAAATAGTGAAGAAACCCTTGACAGGTAATCAGCTTGGGACCCAAATTAATACCCCAAAGAGTACACCCCCTCCAGCAAGTGAGAGCATGAGCCTCCTCTGTCCTTTCCACCCTCTCCACCTCCAACCTCACAGCCAGTCTCCCGGCAAAGAAGCCTTGTGTCAACCTAGCTCTGTCCCCTGTCCACACTCATCTACTGCCTCACAAGTTTCAGCAGGGAAGACTCAGGGAGAGAACAATCTCTTCCTTCAGCCTTACCCATACTCCTCTACCTTCTTTTCTTCTTGCCTTTTTCTACTACTAACTGGGCTCCAACTAATGCTGCCTCACTAGCTGGCACCAGTTCTGTCCTCAAGGGGCGGCTTGGATTCCCTGTTCTTCATACATCCTTGAAGGTATGAGGCAGAAAAAGATATGGTAAAACCAGATTCAGTGAATCCCCAGTCACCTCCAACTCTTATCCTGCTCAACGTTAAAATTAGTGTGCATCCCCTAATCTCATACTAGCTAGAAAATGCCTAGGTTAACTGCAGTCTTCTGTCTTGAAGACAGAAAGAGTAGGGGGAAAGGAAGAAAAGATACTCACCTAAGACTAGGAATAGCCATAGATTATACAAAATCTCTGGCTTACTACATACATAATGGGTACTTTAATGCATCCATTTATGTTAAGACTAATAACATTAAAAATTTAAAGAAATCTCAGACAAATGGCTGATCAAAATATACAGGAAAAAGCTCAGTTAGGCAGATGATATATTTATAAAAAAAATCAAAGGAGAAAAATAGCACCCAAACAATGAAGTGTCATATATTTACTTTTACAGACACTAACACAAATTCTGCCTTTATTACAAATCTATGATAGAAAATGTTTTGCTTTTTTATATTTTCTATATTTTTCCTATTTGGAAGAACTCAATCAATTTCTAGTTAAGAGTAACTTTCAGCCAGCGCCGCGGCTCACTAGGCTAATCCTCCGCCTGTGGTGCCGGCACATCGGGTTCTAGTCCCATTCGGGGCACTGGATTCTGTCCTGGTTGCTCCTCTTCCAGTCCAGCTCTCTGCTGTGGCCCGGGAGGGCAGTGGAGGATGGCCCAAGTGCTTGGGCCCTGCACCCGCATGGGAGACCAGGAGGAAGCACCTGGCTTCTGGCTTCCAATCGGCACAGCGTGCGGTCCGCAACATGCCAGCTCGCAGCGGCCACTTGGGGAGTGAACCAACGGAAAAAGGAAGACCTCTCTGTCTGTCTCTCTCACTAACTCTGTCCAAAAAAAAAAAAAAAAGAGTAACTTTCAGAGGTCATGAGTATCATTTCATCACTTTTTCAAGATACTGAAATAATGGTAGACTTCAGAGTACTCAATTTATATCATTCTTATGGACCCAAGGTCCATAAGCCCAAGATCTGTAAACAAATATGTGTACTACTTACCTGCTTTAAAGCCAAGTTGCCAATTATTAGATTCCACTTTTCAATGGGTGAATCCATCTTCCCAATATTTACCTGTTAGGGTAGATATTTTCATATATTACTGAATAAATGCCATCTGCTCTGTTTAAGTCTTAAAGCCCAAGTTAACTTTTTAATAAATCTGATGACCTTGTGTTGAGTTTTGGTGTGTGTGTGTGTATGAGAGAGAGAAAGAGAGGAAGTGTGGCTTAAAAAACAAATTTTGTCATGGTTCCAGAGGCTGAAAAGTCCAAGACTAAGTTCCAGCAGGGTTTGGTGTCTGCTAAGGGCCCTCTCCTTGGCTTACAGATAAACCACCTTCTCACTGTGTCTTCACATGGCAGAGAAAGAACTCAGACGGAACTTTGAAAATCAATTCTGAATTTACTAAGGGCCTTGCATCTAACATTTGGCTTGACTGAGACTTTTGGAAAAAGTGTATTTTCTCAGTTATTCATCTTATAAGAATTAATAGACCAGTTAGTATTATCCACCTATTCACAGATGCTGTTTTATAACTAACATCATTAGGTATCATCCTAACAGGCTGAATTTTGTGTATTGAGGCCCAATCTAAATAATTACATAATTTTAAGCTTCCCAGTTAATCTCACATGTAAAAACAGTGTAATTTGGACAATCATTGTTCAAAAATATAAACAAATCATTCATATAATTTGTACTTGAGTCATAACTAAAACGGTTACCAATAAAAATAAATTCATAAATTTTGATTATGTACTTGAGTATTAAAATTTATACATATGTCTGCTAGATGGAAGAATATCTCTAAAATATCATTCACATACTCAATTGTTATATATGCTCATATTTCTCAACAACTGAGGATTCAAAAAATGTATATCAAAATCTGCCAAGCTTTTTAAGATTTATTTATTTGAGAGGTAGAGTTACAGACAGAGAGAGGGAGAGACAGAGAAAGAGGTCTTGTATCCCCTGGTTTACTCCCCAAATGGCTGCAATGGCCAGAGCTGGGCCAATCTGAAGCCAGGAGCCAGGAGTTTCTTCCAGTCTCCCATGCAGGTGCAGGGTTCAAGCACTTGGGCCATCTTCTACTGCTTTCCCAGACCATAGCAGAGAGCTGGATCAGAAGTGGAGCAGCCGGGACATTAACCAGCGCCCATATGGGGTGTTGGCACTGCACGCGCAGGCTCAGCCAACTATACTACAGTGCCAGCTCCTCTGCCAAGTTTTTCTATGACTAATCATAGGCTTAAAAAATACTATATTGAGTTGGGTTCAACTATTCATATGCTTGGTCATAGAAGATTTTCAAATAGAAAAAAAAAATCTAGGTGAACAGATGAAGATACATATAACAGTTGTTCATTACCATTAATTTTAATCATTAACAAACCAGAAAACTCTCACTGGGTTCAACCTCACAAATTAAGTGCTGTGCTAACATTTCCTGTCAATCTGGAAAACAAACTATTTTCTAATCTCACTCTGGACTTCAGACTTAAAGTATCCAGAAAATGCAATACTGAGATTTCTCTGTGTCTCTGAATAGATATTCATGCAGTCTTTATTTATATATTACTAAGACTTGGACTCTAAATTATTTATGAAATTCAAGTTTATAGCTCTGACAACCTGGGGCTTTGCTAAAGTGAGTTATAAGGTACAAAAGCAATGTTTAAAGAATAAACCTTGTGGCTGGCAGCGTGGCTCAGTGGATTAAACCACAGCCTGTGATACCAGCATCCCATACTGGAATATCTGTTGGAGTCCTGGCTGTTCTGCTTCCGATTCAGCTCCCTACTCATGAGCCTGGGAAAGCAGCAGAAAATGGCCCTAGTGCTTGGGCCTCTGCCCCCTACATGAGTGACCTAGATGGAGTTCCAGGCTTCTGGTTTCAGCCTGACCCAACCCCAGTTATTTTGACCACTTGGGGAGTGAACCAGAGCATGGGAGATCTCTATCTCTCCCTTTCTGTCACTCTGCCTTTCAAACAAGTAAAATAAATCTTAAATAAAAATAAATCTCAGGTTTGGAGTTCAAGAAATAAATAAGATAAAATAGTGTTTAAAAAAAAAAGGCTGGTGTTATGGCTCAGTGGGTTTAGCTGCTGCCTATGATGCTCGCATCCCGTATGGGCTTCAGTTCGCATTCTGTCTGCTCCACTTTCAATCCAGCTCCCTGTGAATGTGTCTGAGAAAGCAGTGGAAAATTACCCAAGTGTTTGGGCCCCTGCACTCACGTGGGAGACCCGTATGGAGTTCCAGGCTCCTAGCTTTGGTCTGGCCCTGCCCTGGCTGTTGGAACCATTTGGGAAGTGAACCAGTGAATGAAAGATTTGTCTCTCTCTCTCTCTCTCTCTCTCTCTCTCTCTCTCTCTCTCAGATAAATAAACCTTAAAAAATTTTATAAAAAGACTTCTTAGGTATCTATACATACAGGAAGCAATTTAAAATGATCACATGAAAAAGTATAAGACATAAAGACTCCAGGGCTGCATAATGGCCACTGTAAATATTTATACATTAGGGTGTAGAAAAGGATCAACAAAAGTGGGAGTGGCACAATGTAACTGTGACAAATTCACCTGATACCATCAGCAGCAGTACTTTCTAAGGCCTGCAAGTAAATTCCTCATATATAACATTAGCTATAGCATTAGGCTACAGTCTGCCAGTGAATGAAACTTGCCTAAGATTTGGAAGGCCCAAATGAAGCAAAGGCCATTAGTTCTGGAGTGCAGACCTCTTTGCTGCAGGACACATGTGGTTTTCTCCCCCTGCTCTAGTGCTTCAGGCTACCTCCCTGATTCTCCTACCACAGATCACTTCTCCAACCTCCCCCAAATTTGTCCAACTTCTTTTGTTAAATACTCACTGCCACAATATACACCATGGTTCTGCTTCCCTGATCAATCCCAGACTGACAGTAGAACTTTATTCAATTACTCCATGTTACAAAATGATAAAGATCATACTCTGTTCCTTACAGATCTAGAAGTTCCTGAATCTTCAATTACTTTAGTATAAAATAACTAAACCCATATGTAATATAAAAAATAAAGAATATATTAATGAATAACTTTATAAAGCAAAGATTTTAGAAAGATTAAAAGTAAACTAAAAATAAATAATGACTCAAATCTACCTGTTAAGAAAAATAGTTATGCTATAGGCAGGCACTGGGGAATGAATGTGGTATGTAAGAACATGGAAAATTGATTTTATTGCTTCCAACTTGTAAAAATTGTACCAAGAATTGGACTAACCCATTCTGTTATCTATTAGTTTAGGGATAACATGAAACACCTGTTTCCCACAGAGGTGGAGAGGGGAAAGTTTGAGTGTTCTGTCTAAAGGTCTTTGCTAGACCTACTTTATTTGATTAGTTGACGTAATGGTGTTCAGCTAGAGAAATCAAGAACATGGAAGGTGATGCAATAGACCATGATCTAATAAAGACTTCTGTGTACCCCAAATTTTTTTAAATTATAGATCTTTTTTAAGATTTATGTATATATTTGAAAGGCAGAGTTACAGACAGAGAGAAGGGGTGGGGGGAGGGAGGGAGGGAGAGAGAGAGAGAGAGAGAGAGAGAATATATCTTTCATCTGCTGGTTCACTCCCCAAACGGCCAGAGCTGGGCCAATCTGAAGCCAAGTACCAAGAGCTTCTTCTGGTACATGTACACGAGTACAGGGGCCCAAGGACTTGGGCCATCCTGTGCTGCTTTCCCAGGCCATCAGCAGAGAGATGGATAGGAAGAGAAGCAGCCAGGACACAAATCAGTGCCCATATGGGATGTCAGTGCCACAGGTGGGGACTTAACCTACTATGCCATGGCATTGGTCCCTACACATATCTTAAAGTACTAGAAAAATGGGTCAATAATTTCACAGAAACACCAACTAGTTCACTCATTAAGACATTTAATTATTCTAATATACTCTGCTTTAGATCTTTGAATATATTATACCAGTTTCCTTGAAAGACTGTTAAGTCTCACATCAGCCCACATGGATATGTTTTTCATTGACTGCGTATGAATCATACTTTTTTTGAATATGAATCACATTTTTCAGTTTCTTTTCATATCTAGTAATTTTTGGCTAGAAAACAGTGTAATCAATTACAGTGACTCTGGATATTGTTATCTTCTTGTGAGGAGTAGTGGGTTCTCCTTCTAATCGGCAGCAGCTGACTTGCCTAGACTCAAAGCATAGATTCTTGTCTCTCCTCTCCCATAGTACAGAGTAGCTCATCTCTCTGCTGGGTTCTTTTGGTTACAAATGATTGCTCTTTATTTAGTCTAGCCTTTTAGAGAACTCTTCTACATCTCTGTAGTTTCATAGCCAACCAAAGATTTGGCAGCATTCATACTCAGATTTGGGGGCTCACTCTCTCTGCAGAACTGTACTTCAAGGACAGCCCCCAAAATTTCCACTTGCTTTGTCAGGTCCAAGCTTGTCATCTGATAACTGAAGCCAAGAAGACTACTTTATGACACTATAGCCATGAATAGGTCATACAAGACACTCAGGAAAAAAAAAAACAAGCAAAATACAAATCTTAGCCAACATATTAGTTTTTTAAATGTTGGCCCACTTCACATTTCTTCCTGTATCTTAAAAACTTTTTGGGGCCGACACTATGGTATAGTGGGTAAAACTGCTGCCTTCAGTGCCAGTATCCCATATGGGTACCAGTTCATGTTCCAGCTGCTCCTCTTCCAATCCAGCTCTCTGCTGTGGCCTGGGAAAGCAGTAGAATATGGCCCAAGTCCCTAGTTTGAGCAAATCTTATACTCAGATTGGAGGTCTTAGCTCTTCTTTACTTCTAGAATTTCTTCCCTAAATTCTTAAATTTCCAGCTGTTCTGGCAGCTCTGAACTATGTCTTCTGTCACAGACTGGCAAGACTGTAAGGTCTCTGCCACATGAGATCAGAGATTAGGGAACTCCTATGGGCAAAATCACCACAAACTCTTCAATTCTTACCCATTGTAGTTATGGTCTTTTTAGGGCAAACTCTTTTTTTTTCTCCCTTTCACTTTCCATCACCTTCAAGTAACTCCTCTGAATACTGTAATTATGAATGTTTAGGAAGGTTCATCCAAATACTTCATTCTGCACTAACTGGAATCAGAAATCCTGGTATTTACTTTTATATAATCCAAAGACTTTATAATAAAATGTGCATACTAAAATACACACAAACTAATATCTTCCTGAACATTCACTGTCTTGACTGTGATGACAGATCTACAGGTATATATTAAATATTAAAACTCACTGAACCATAAACTTCAAAAGTGTGTAGTTTACTGTAACTCAATTACATCTCAAAAAAGCTGCAAAACAGTAGGAAGCTAAAACTTACTTGACTGAAACAGTTTCGGATTAAATATAAATAGTCCTATTCCACAAAGTTATGACTACAGATTGATATTTATAGTTTAAGAAAGATCCTTAGGGGCCAGCACTGTGGCACAGAAGGTCCTGTGGTGCCAGTATCCCATATGGGTGCCTGTTGGAGACCCTGCAATCCCCCTTCTGATCCAGCTCCCTGCCAATGTGCCTAGGGAAAAACAGTGAAAGATGGCCCAGCTGTTTGGGCCGCTGCACCCACATGAGAGACCCAGAAGAAGCTCCTGGCTTCAGATTGGCCCAGCTCCAGCCACTGTGGCCATCTGGTGAGTGAACCAGCAAATGGAAGGCTTTTCTCTCTCTCTTCTGTCTGTAACTCTGGCTTCTCAAATAAATAAAATCTTTAAAAAAAAAAAAGTTCTTGGAAAAGTTTGAAGCAGAAGTTAGTTCTGTTTAAAGTAGAAAAGTACTCATCAGACTGGCGTAGTGGTGTAGCAAGTTAAGCCTCCACTTGCAACACCGGCATCCCATATAGGCACCAGTTCAAGACCAAGATGCTCCACTTCTGACCCAGCTCCCTGCTAATGTGCCTGGGGAAGCAGAAGATGGCCCAAGTGCTTGGGCCCCTGCACCCATGTGGGAGACCTCAAAGAAGCTCCAGATTCCTGGCTTTGACCTTGCTCAGCCTCGGCCGCTGCAGCCACTGGGAGATGGAAGAGCTCTCTGTCTCTTGTTCTCTCTCTGTGACTCTGCCTTGCAAATAAATAAAAAATAAATCTTTAAATAAAAATAAAAAGTGCTCTTCACATTGTGCTAAGCCAGTTACTCCAAATAAAGTATTAAAGGCTTTTCAAAAAATATATGTTGGGGTTGACATTGTGGCACAGCAGGTTAAGTTGCAACTTATGATGCCAGCATCCTATATGAGCACCAGTTCAAGTCCCAGCAGCTCCAGCCTAGCCCAGTCCTGGCCACTGTGGTGATCTAGGGAGTGACCCAGCAGATGGAAATCTCTATCTCTTCCACTCTCTCTGTGATTCTGCCTTTCAAATAAATAAGTAAATAAATATTTGATATATAGATATAAAATCTTTAGGACTGTGGACAGCGGTTTTTATTCTTACATCAGCATTCAAAAATTTTAGACCTTAGATCATAGACCTTTTAACTCAACAATTTATACAATCGCTGTACTTATTTTCTAATTATATACTACTGTTAATTTATTTTTATAATGATTTTACTATATTTTTACTATAATTTTTTCCCAAATTATTAAAAAGATAAGAAGGGAAAAAAAAAAAAAAAAAGGCCGGTGCCGCGGCTCAGTAGGCTAATCCTCCACCTAGCGGCGCCAGCACATCAGGTTCTAGTCCCGGTCGGGGCGCCGGATTCTTTCCCAGTTGCCCCTCTTCCAGGCCAGCTCTCTGCTGTGGCCCAGGAGGGCAGTGGAGGATGGCCCAAGTGCTTGGGCCCTGCATCCCATGGGAGACCAGGAGAAGCACCTGCCTCCTCACTTCGGATCAGCGTGGTGCGCTGGCTGCAGCACGCCAGCCGTGGTGGCCATTGGAGGGTGAACCAGTGGAAAAGGAAGACCTTTCTCTCTGTCTCTCTCTATCCACTCTGCCTGTCCAAAAAAAAAAAATAAAGATAAGGGAAATTTTTCAAGCTAATCAGTTTAGAGATAAGTTTTGACTCAAAAGGACAAAATAAAGTCATTTGGATTCATCATTATTTAATTTCCTTGTTAAAATATGAAAACTATTTTATCAACACATCTTTTTATCCATGAGCATTTAATCTCCACTTTTATATAATAACAAGCGTTAAAGATAGCTGATCTTCAACAGATTGAGTAGGCTAAATTCCTATACCTTATGTTTAACATTCTCTATATATTTTCTGAAGGCCTTCCTTAAATCCTATAATCTTATTTATACTAATTCTCCTGCAAATAATCATAAAAATGACAAAAGACCCTTTAATAAAGCAAAAAGATTAAGGTAACCACAGAATGGCCTTCTATAGCTATGATATTTTACCCTTACTTTTATAATTGACAATAAATACTACACAGAAGCATCAGAAGAAATTATAAAAGTCCTGCACATAAATGAAAAAGTTAGCTTTCAAACTTTCAAGTTTGTTTTAAGTAAAAAAGGGGTAGTCAATTGGTGCAGTCATTAAGATACCACTAGGGAGCCAGTGCCATGGCTCACTAGGCTAATCCTCTGCCTGTGGCACCGGCACACCAGGTTCTAGTCCCAGTTGGGGCGCCAGATTCTGTCCCAGTTGCTCCTCTTCCTGGCCAGCTGTCTGCTGTGGCCCGGGAGTGCAGTGGAGGATGGCCCAAGTCCTTGGGCCCTGCACCCGCATGGAAGACCAAGAGGAAGCACCTGGCTCCTGGCTTCGGATTGGCACAGCGCGCTGGCAGTAGCGGCCATTTGGGGGTGAACCAACAGAAAAAGGAAGACCTTTCTCTCTCTCTAACTCTGCCTGTAGAGAAAAAAAAAAAAAAAAAAATACCACTAGTGATGCCACAGCCCCACAATGAGTGACTAAGTTTGAGTCTCAGCTCTACTTCCAACTCTAGCTTCCTGTTAATGTGTACTCTGAGAGGGAGCACATGAAATTGGGTCCCTGCCACCCATATGGGAGATATATCTAATCAAGTTTAAGCATGGATACGCAGGTATAGAAGGATCTATACCAAAATATTAATAGTGATTATATCTAGGTAGAGGACAAGGGGTGGTGGTAAGTTTTTCTCTTTACACTTTTTCCCCTTTAATTCAGTTTTTACAATAAGCATATATTACTTCTATGATCATAAAAAATTGAAATACCAATCGACCAACCACCAAACCTTAAAGAATCTCAGTAACTGACTCACTCCATGTCTTAAGCACAGAATATAATAGCTAGGACACCCTAGCATCAGAGGAGGCAAATTTCTTTTTCTTGAGATTACACATCCATAATAATTTCCAGGGTATGATATCAGGTATAACCTACTTAGCACAGATCTGAGGTCTAGAATTTTACTTGATAGACAAAGAAAAATCTCTTTTCCTGATACAGGCTCTCCATAAAAGAGAGAAGCAGTACAGGTCATATACACACGGTGAGGTAGGAAAAAACTTACTGCAGTGGATAATCTGGATGCCAATGTCATTTCCAAGTTCCCTTTGAGACCAAGGAGCGCAGGAACTAAAATGAAAACTTCTGTAACTTTTTTGAACACCTCCCAGTGCTGTAAAAATAAGATAAAATTTTCTGACACTTTAAATAAAAAAATATTTTAAAGCAAAGACATTACTAATAATCCCAGCCATCTTTTCAAGTTTGCATTTCCATTTTGAATGACTATGTACGTCATTTTATCAGAGAACATTTAGCTTAACCCCATCCTCCTGAGCTTTGAAGCTTTGAGTTACTTTAAAAGACTCAGTGATGCCTGACAGGTAACTGCATCTAATTCTGTATCTAGCTTGCTACACAATCCTTATGCTCTTAAACTGTATTCCTTTATAATGGCAAGAGATAGGACAGCTAGCAGTTAAAAACACAGACTCAAGGGTAGATCATCTGGATTTGAATCCTGGTTCCAACATCAATTACACAATTCCACAGGATAATTACAGCACTATTATCTAATTTCACAAATTATAAAAATAAAGATTCAGAGAGGTTAAATACTTTTCCCAAGGTCAAAAAATGGACAGCACTCAACTGGATACAAGATTTGTGATTCAAATCCTGGATTTGTTACTAACTGCCTGTGTGATCCTCGATGAGTCACATCTGTGATCTCAATTTCTTCATCCCTAAAATAAAGATTATATCCATCCTATCTAGCCTCTGGAGAAATAACATAAAAAAGAAAACAGACACTCACATGCTTTCTAAATTGTAAAGATCTTACAAATATTTAATAACACTAAGTGAAATTTTACAAATGCTATTAAGAAGTGACTATCCCAGCAAGACTTCATGGACTAGGCATATTAACTTTATGCCAAAAAACTGGATAAAGAAATTATGGGATATGTACTCTATAGAATACTACACAGTGGTAAAAAAATGAAATATAGTCATTTGCAACAAAATGGAGGAATCTGCTGAGTAAAATAAGCCAGTCCCAAAGGGACAAATATCATGTGTTCTCCCGGATCTGTGACAACTAACTGAGAACCTAAAAGGAAACCTGCAGAAGTGAAACTGACACTATGAGAAACAATGACTTGATCAGCTCTTGACCAGACTGTCAAGGAACAGCTTACTAATTTATTCTTCTTAGTATTTTCTTTTTCTACTTAACACCATTGGTTTAACTCTTTAATTAAAACACAATTATTCTTAGGAGTTTAAATCCAACTAAAAATTGATCCCTATTAAAAATAAGAGTGGGAATAAGAGACAGAGGAGAAGTACAGTGCAGCACATGCTCACTCAGACTTACCCCTAAGGGTAAAGCTAGAAACGTGCATGGGACTCCAAATCCCATTAAGTTGGCAGGTACCAATGCCATCTGAACTAGTTAAAGTGATCAGTTTAAGTTCATAACTGATCATAAAGATAGGATGAAGTGTCAAAGGGATCACATAAATAAGACCAAGTGTTTGCTAATAATAATTGATAGAATTAAAAAGGAGAGAATGATCCAACATGGGAAACGGGATACACAGCAGACTCATAGAATGGCAAATGCCCTAAACAGCACTCTGGCCTCAGAATCAGCCCTTAAGGCATTCAGATCTGGCAGAAGAGCCCATGAGAGTTTCTCAGGCATGGAAAGCCAAGACACTGTGGCAAAAAATGACCTAAATGAAAGATCTCTGTGAGTGAGATCCCAGTGGAAAGAACAGGCCATCAAAGAAGGAGGTACCCTTCTCTGAAGGGAGGAGAGAACTTCCACTTTGACCATGGCCTTGTCTAAATAAGGTCGGAATTTGTGGACTCAAGAGGCTTCCATAGCCTTGGCAGCTCATGACAGTGAGCCTTGGGTGATTACTGACGTCATAAATAAGAGTGCCAACTGTTAAATCAACAGCAGGAGTCACTGTGCACTTGCTCCCCAAGTAGGATCTCTGCCCTTAATGTGTTGTTCTATGAGAATTAATGGTAAAACTAATCTTCAAACAGTACTTAATACTTTGTGTGTCTATGTGGGTGCAAACTGTTGAAATCTTTACTTAGTACATATACTAAGTTGATCTTCTGCATATGAAGATAATTAAAAATGAATCTTAATGAAGAATGGGATGGGAGAGGGAGTACGGGATGAGATGGTTTGCGGGTGGGAGGGTGGTTATGGGGGGAAAAACCACTATAACCCAAAAATTAATCCAATAAATATAATTCAAATAATATAATCCAAATAATTTACCTATAGGTTATTTTGAATTTTCTAGATATACAAATCTTATTTTCATATAATGACATTTTTTCCTTCTGCTTAAAGTCTATATATATATATATATATTTTTTTTTTTTTGACAGGCAGAGTGGACAGTGAGAGAGAGAGAGAGAGACAGAGAGAAAGGTCTTCCTTTGCTGTTGATTCACCCTCCAATGGCAAGCACATCGCGCTGATCCGAAGCCAGGAGCCAGGTGCTTCTCCTGGTCTCCTATGTGGGTGCAGGGCCCAAAGACTTGGGCCATCCTCCTCTGTACTCCTGGGCCACAGCAGAGAGCTGGCCTGGAAGAGGGGCAACTGGAACAGAATCTGGCGCTCGGACAACGACTAGAACCTGGTGTGCTGGCGCCGCAGGCGGAAGATTAGCCTATTGAGCTGCGGTGCCGGCCAAAGTCTACATATTTTATTTTTTTCTTGCCTCTTGTAGTTATTAGAACAATATTAGATATGGTGATAGTGAATATCTTTGTCTTAGTCCCAACTTCAGGAGGAAATATTTTTATATTTTACTTCTTAGTGTGATCTTTGCTATAGATTTTTTGGTAGGACCATTTATCAGATTAGGGAATATCTTTTCTAGCCATTGGTTCTAGACTTTCATTTTTTAATCATAGATCTATATATAATTTTATCAAATGTCTTATTAAACTGGTATTATTTTCCCTTTTTACTATACATATACTTAATTATATTAACATTTTAATGTTAAACAAACTACATTTTCTGAAATAGATAAAAAGGTAAGATTGAAAAACAACAAGGGGCATCCCATATAGGCACCGGTTCGTGACCCGGCTGCTCCATTTCCAAGCCAGCTCCCTGCTACTGCACCTGGCAAAGTACTTGGGCCCTGCAGCCACGCTGGAGAGCCAGATGAAGCTCCTAGCTCCCTGGCCTTGGCCTACCCCAACCCTGGCCATTGTGGCCCATTCGGGGAGTGAACCAGCAGATGAAGATCTCTCTCTCTCCTTTCTCTGTAATTCTTTCAAATAAATAAATATATCTTTAAAAAAAAGATTGAAAATGAAATAAAATTGCCCATATTCACAGATCTGGTTATGATGAAGAAATTTTTAAAGATGCTTAGGTAAAAGTAACATTAATATATCAATAACTCCTACACATCTATAAATAAAATAATCAGGGACCGGCGCTGTGGTTTATCAGGTAAAGCCACCGCCTGCAGTGGTGACATCCCATATGGGTGCTGGTTCAAATTTCAGCTGCTCCACTTCCAATCCAGCTCTCTGCTATGGCATGGGAAAGCAGTGGAAGATGCTGGGAGGCAGCAGGTGATGTCTCAAGTAATTGGGTTCCTGCCATCTATATGGGAGACCTGAATTAAGTTCCTTGCCCAGGGCCTTGGCCTGGCCCAGTGCTGCCTATTATGGACATTTGGAGAGTGAACCAGTGGATAAAAGCTCTCTCTTGCCCTGACTTGCTCTCCCTCCCTCTCTTTTGCTTTCTCTCTATGCCTCTCTGCCTTTCAAATTAAATAAATAAATAATTTTTTAAAAAGAGAAATGAACCATAATCAGCTTATTTGCTGTAGCAGCTGTGGTACCATTGTGATGACTTGCAATAATTATTTTAAGTTGATAGGTTTCATTCCCCACTGGTACTGGTATTGTTATCTATTTTAAAATTCCACATAACTTACATAATTTCTCCTACTGATGGTGGGAAAATGTTTCAATTTATGTACATTTTCCATTTAGAAAAACATGCTATCTGTGGAATAGTGTCTTACAGTCACAACGATCTGAGATTCTTCCATGAAGCAACCAATGCAAGACAAAGGCACATTACAGGATGATGGATCTGGCACTTTCCCAGAGCCAACCTTTCTCTGACTAAAAAATGAAAACTGACAACAACAGAATGTTACATTTTGGCAATTTACTACTTTAAAAAGATAATTATATAATGAGTAGTACTCTGGCTATAATACAGAACTCCTACAAATCAGTAAGTGGCACATAAATTTTTAAATGGATAAAAGATACCAGATGAATTCACAGGAAAAATAAGAAAAGATACTAAACATTTAGTATTTTACGTTTGGCGCAGTAGTTGGGATGCCACTGGAGGCACCCACATCCCATATCAGAGTGCTTGAATTTGAGTCCAGCTCTGCTTCGGATTCTGGCTCCTGGTTAATGCATACCTTAGGAGGCAGCAGGAGATGGCTCACATAGTAGTCCCTACCACCCACACGGGAGTCTCAGCTTGAGTTCTAGGCTGCTGGCTTTCATCTGGTCCAGCCCTAGCTGTTGTAAGCATTTGGGGAGTGAACCAGCAGACGGACAATTTCTCTCTGTCTCTCTCTGCCTTCCAAATAAATAAACATAAATAAAATTTTTTAAAATAATGAAAAACGTTGATTAAAGTATGATAACATTTTGTTGTCATTTGGCAAAAATAAAAAAGGTCAAGAATTTCTAGGGGGCCAGCCTTGTAGCACAGTGGGTCAGGGCACCACCTGTGATGCCATCATCCCATACAGACACCAGTTTGAGTCCTGGCTGCTACACTTCCAATACAGCTCCCTGGTGGGAAGGCAGCAGAAGATAGCTCACGTACCAGGGCCACTACCACCCTTATGGGAAATCTGGATATAATTCCAGGCTCCGGGTTTTGGCCTGGCACAGCTGCGGGTATCGTGGCCCATTTTAGGAGTCAAGCAACAGATGGAAGATCTCTGTCTATGTCTCCACGTTTCTATCACTCTGCCTTTCAAATAAATGAAAATAAAACTTAAAAAAAAAAAAAGAATTTCTAAATGTTGTTAGGATCTTAGAAAAATAAAAGCATTGGGCCCAACGCTATGTCGTAGTGGGTAAAGCCGCTGCCTACAGTGCCAGCATCTCATATGGGCGCCAGTTCGAGTCCTGGCTGCTCCACTTCCTATCCAGCTCTCTAACACACCTGGGAAAGCAGCGGAAGATGGCCCAAGTCCTTGGGCCTCTCTCTGCACCCACGCGGGAGACCCAGAAGAAGTTTCAGGTTCCTGACTTCAGATCGGCCCAGCTCCAGCCGTTGCAGCCATTTGGGGCGTGAACCAGCAGATGGAAGACCTCTCTATCTCTGCCTCTGCCTCTCTGTAATTCTGCCTTTCAAATAAATAAGTAAATATTTAAATAAAAAAAGAAAAAGAACAGTATTTACATATCAGTAGTATGGTACAAATTACTACAAACTTTTTGAAAGGTAATTTACAAGTGTCCATAAAATTTTAAACATAGTCTAATACCCAAAGATACCACTTTTTAAATCTATCCTATGGAGATATTTATATTAGTATAAAAATATACTTCTAAGGATTATTTTCACACTAGTATAGAAGAATAAATAAATTTACATCTGCAATGAAGAATAAGTAAAATTCCATCTACAATGGAAGATGAAATATTTTAAAATACAGAAAATCTTCATATACCAATTTGGAAAGATGTACAGAATGTACTATCAAGCAATGAAAATTAGCTTCACAAAAATAGTATTTCATTTTCATTTTTGAAAATAATTCACATTAATGTATGTACTCATATACAAGCAGAGAAGAAAGTTTACAATATATAACAACCTCTTAATGATAGTAATGTTTGGAGAAGAGGAGAGTTTTATAGATGAAGAATGGATGATACTCTGACCTATTTTTGGATCTATAGAGAAGCACTATTTTATGATCAGAATGATCAGAACTTCGGGGGGGGGGGGCAAGTTTGAACCACATCTAAAAAAAGAAGATTGTCTACCAGAGTCAGCAGCCACTCACTTTATGAAGGAATAATAAAATCTAAATAAATATTTGGGATTAATAGCCTATATACAACATTTTAAACAGAAATGCAGTAACAAAAAGACAATCCAGTGAAAGCAGAAAACTCACCTGTACTATATCCAAAACCATGCCAGCTGAAACTGTTCCAAAGCCAGCCAGCAAAAACGGCACAAGTATCTGCAATGCCATGATGCCACTGGACTCTCTCGGTAATTTTGGGCTTGCTTCCACAATGACATCCTCATCCCCGTCACTAGATATATCCTCATCTTGTAACATGGCAGTAGTTTCTGAAGTCTCTCTCCCATCACAGTAATTATAGTTGGCATAGTCATCATACTTTTGGCTACAACCTGATGGTATATGTCCATTATTACCGTGAAAAGACTGTTCTGAGAAACCGTGGTATTCCATGTGTTGCTCAGATCTATTGCTAAAAGTCTGTGTTGCCACTGATAGTCCATCTTGCCAAATGCCATTTGCTTTTTTGTGCCTCTCTTCTTGATTTTTCTGGTAAATTACTGGAACCATACTCAACAGTAAGTTTAAAAACTTATCAGACTGAATTGTGTTTAAATTTAAAGTCCAGTCTACACAGCCTCCTCCACTACCTAAACCACCATTTGTTTTATTAGTAAGAGATCTTCCTTTACTATTAGTCATATTGTCATTGCAAAAGATCCGGTACTCCTGAGATCTCAAGCGCCGTGAACCATAGCAGATGAAGCAGAACCACATAAACACTTGTTTAAATTAAGTTGTTAGCTTCATTGTGTAGAAAATGCCTTCACTAATAAAAGGTGTTCAGAAGTTCCACAAAGGGACTGGATCTGGAAAGAAAAAAATTAAAAAATTAAATTATTTGAAACAGGCATTTGACTTATTGGTTAAAATACCAATTAAGACACCATGTCCCATATCAGAGCACCTGGGTTCAATTTCTGGCTCTGGCTTGTGATGCCAGCATCCACCAACACAAACTACCAGAGACAGCAGAGACTGGTTCAAGAGATTGGGTCACTGCCACTACGCGGGGGATCTGGAAGGAATTCCCAGCTCCTTGCTCATTCCTAGCTGTTGTGGGAACCTGAGGAGTGAACTAGCAGATGAGAATTCTCTATGGTTCTTTCTTCCTCTCTGCCTCTCAAATAAAAAATGAAAATTTAATTTTAAGATAAATAATATTAACTATCTCAATGTTTAGATTATCATATTTAGATGTAGAAAACACATGAGTTCTTCAACCCTACAGTATTGATACCGTACTTCATGGGCTTAAAACATAGCTTCTTTGTGCCATACTATTGCTGTTGTGTATAGAAATAGATTACAAAGCTATTATGTGGGCTCATTTTGATGAAAAGCATTTCTTATCTTTGTATACTTTATGTAACTAGTATCTACACAAGGTCTTCAACTCCCTCTGAAGTTCTGCAGTGGACAAACTTACTTCAAAAAGTGATGGTTTCCACTCCTATAGAGAAGACTCAGAATCAAATTGCTACAACCCTTAACACCCGTTTGTATACAGTGTTTTACTTAAAACATTAAATAATAAGCCCTATCACTTTATCTACAACTTGATATATTTTGCTATTAAAATATGAAGAGATAATGATGCTGTTTACTTGTTAAAACAAACTTGCAGATGTCCTTTATACTGTATGGGGCATTTATTTCAGGTATAAAATTAGGTTGAAGTCATATTCGTATTTGCAGCTCTGACACTGACACACACACACACACACACACACACAGAAATCCATTATAAGAGACTTAGGAACACAATTCCTTCTGTTATTTAGGAAATCATCAAACTGAAAAGAGATTACATGTATACATGTCCTGCCTTTCGCAAGCCAAAGAAAGCTTGCATTTATTTAAAAGTGCACTCTGTCCATTCACACTTCTCAAATCTGCTCTGAGCCATAACCCCAGGGAAGGACCTTGAATGGCTGACCCATAAACAGATTTTCCCTAAAGACTTGGAACTAAGAGACACAGACACACTGCAACTAGTCAGACAGTGATGGACACTGAAGCTGCAAAGGACATATGAGAGTACTCCAAAAAATTCACAGGAAATGTAATTAAATAATCTTATTTTGGTGGAAAAAAATGAAATCCATGAACACAGGGGATCCTCAAGAAGTTAGCAGAAAGGGGCCAGCACTGTGTCATAGCAAGCCAGGCAGTGCCAGTATCCCACATGGGCACTGGATCGTGTCCTGGCTGCTCCTCTTCCAATTTAGCTCTTTGCTTATGGCCTGGGAAAGCAGTGGAAGGTGGCTCAAGTGCTTGGGCCCCTGTACCTGAATAGGAAGCCCAGAGGAAGCTCCTGGTTCCTGGCTCCAGTTCAGCCCAGCTCCAGCTGTTGCAGCAATCTGGGGAGTGAACCGGCAGGAGAGAATGTCTCTCCCTCTGTCTATAAATCTCAAATAATAAATAAATAATCTAAAATGAAAAAGAAAAAGAAGTTCATGGAAAACACAAATTCAAAAGTCTGCATGGATATCAAAAATTTTGAGCACCAAAATAAATTCATCCTTTAGTTCCATGATCCCATGTGCTTTCTGAAGTATCCTCATATGCTAGGTATACATACAGAGCCCATTTGTACTACTGCTGCTACAGCTGGAAAGACTCTCAAAGCCACCTATCACAATGGGTCTCGAGGCCTCAGGTGTTTCTCGGGAGTGTATAGGCCTGTCTTACACTTCTAAGAGTACAGGAAATCAAGAAATTGGCACTGGGGGCCCGGAGTTGTGGTGTAGCAGGTCAAGCCACCACCTGCAATGCCAGAATCCCATACAGGTGCTGGTTCATGTCCTGGCTGCTCCACTTCTGATCCAGCTCCCTGTTAATGGCATAGGAAAAGCAAGCAGAGGAAGATCCAAGTGTTTGGATCCCTGCCACTCATGTGGGAGACCTGGAAGAAGCTTCTGCTTCAGCCTGGCCCAGCCACAGCCCTTCCAGCTATTTCAGAAGTGAACCAACAGAGAGCAGCTCTCTCTGTCTCTCCTTTTCCTTCTCCCTCTCTCTCTCTCTCTCTCTCTCTCTGTTTCCCTTCTCTCTCTCGCTCTCTCTTTCCCTCTCCCGCTGTAACTCTGCCTTTCAAATAAATAATTTTTTTTTTGACAGGCAGAGTGGACAGAGAGAGAGAGAGAGACAGAGAGAAAGGTCTTCCTTTGTCATTGGTTCACCCTCCAATGGCTGCCACGGCTGGCGCGCTGCAGCTGGCGCACTGCGCTGATCCGAAGGCAGGAGCCAGGTGCTTCTCCTGGTCTCCCATGGGGTGCAGGGCCCAAGTACTTGGGCCATCCTCCACTGAACTCCCGGGCCACAGAAGAGAGCTGGCCTGGAAGAGGAGCAACCGGGACAGAATCCAGTGCCCCAACCGGGACTAGAACCCGGTGTGCCGGCGCCGCTAGGTGGAGGATTAGCCTAGTGAGCCACGGCGCCGGCCCTCAAATAAATAAATCTTTAAAAATAAAAAACCTTTATGTGCCATGATTCAAACACATTGATTGAGTTGGCTGCATTAAATATTATTTAACAGTTTTGTTCCAAAGACTCTTTAGATGATAAGCATGGCAAACACAACGGCAATTCTGACTTAGTACCTTAGATCCTTGTTATGTGAAGTATTGGTCCAATAGCACTGGCATCATCTGAGAGCTTGTTAAAAATGTAGGATCAAGGGCTGGCGCTGTGGCGCAGCAGGTTAAAGCCCTGGCCTAAAGCACCGGCATCCCATATGGGTGCCGGTTCTAGTCTCAGCTGCTCCTCTTCTGATCCAGCTTTCTGCCATGGCCTGGGGAAGCAGTAGAAGATGGCCCAAGTCCTTGGGCCCTTGCACCCACGTGGGAGACCCGGAAGAAGCTCCTAGCTCCTGGCTTCGGATCAACACAGCTCCAGCCATTGCAACCATCTGGAGAGTGAACCAGTGAATGGAAGACCTCTCTCTCTGTCTCTACCTCTCTCTGTAACTCTGTCTTTCAAATAAATAAAATAAATCTTTCAAATAAAAATGTAGGATAAGGGCTGGCATTGTGGTATAGTGGGTAAAGCCACCATCTGTGAAGCCAGCATCCCATAAGCGCACCAGTTTGTGTCCCAGCTGCTGTACTTCTAATCCAGCTCCCTGCTAACGTCCTGGGAAAGCAGTGGGAGATGACCCAAGTGCTTGGGACCCTGTACTCACGTGGGAGATCCAGAAGCAGCTCTAGGTTCTTGGCTTCAGCCTGGCAGAACCTTGGCTATTGCAGCCACTTGGAGAGAAAATCAATGGATAAGAACATCAATCAATCTGTCTCTTTCTCTCTCTCCCTCCCTCCCTAACTCTACCTTTCAAACAAATTTTAAAAATTTAAAAGCTTTTTTAAAAAATGTAGGATCTCAGTCCTCACTGATTTTTTTAATCAAAATCTGTACCTTTAATGTCATCCCAAATGATTTGTGAACTCAGTAACATGCAAGAAATATCTCCCAATATATTCAAAGGAAAATCTGATTTACATCTAACAGACCAAAAACTTGACAAGTTAGACTTTCAAACATAAACAAGAATGTAAGCAGCATTAACACACACAGCACCACAAGTACAAGTGTAAACTGTCAATGGCTTTGTTAAATAATTTGGCACGTCCTACTGAAGTTGAAGACAGCCGACATGAGCCAGCAATTCCACCCCCCAAGCACCTACCCGGAAGAAACTCTTGCATTATATACCAGAAAAGGAATGTTCTTAACAGCATTTTTCATACTAACAAAATAAACTGAAATTAATCCATAAGAAAGTATAAATTGTGGCATTTTCAACAATGCAATATATGAGAAAGACTATGATAAATCAAAATTTTAGGCTGGCGCCGCGGCTCACTAGGCTAATCCTCCGCCTTGCGGCACTGGCACACAGGGTTCTAGTCCCGGTCGGGGTGCCGGATTCTGTCCCGGTTGCCCCTCTTCCAGGCCAGCTCTCTGCTGTGGCCAGGGAAGGCAGTGGAGGATGGCCCAAGTGCTTGGGCCCTGCACCCCATGGGAGACCAGGAGAAGCACCTGGCTCCTGCCATCGGATCAGCGCGGTGTGCCAGCCGCAGCGCGCCAGCTGTGGCGGCCATTGGAGGGTGAACCAACAGCAAAGGAAGACCTTTCTCTCTGTCTCTCACTGTCCACTCTGCCTATCAAAATAAATAAATAAATAAATAAATAAATAAATAAAAATTTTCAAGGGCATGGTCACATTTGAGGAAGTGGAAAAAGCACATGGAGGCTTCAAAAGATTGGTTATACTTTTTAAGCTTGAAGATTGAAAGTACCTCCTTCTTTGTTAGTGTTTTTTGCAACAGTTGCCTGTGGACTGCAGCATAAAGCATGAGAAATAAGAAAGCTTTACCAATGAAAGACATTGGAAATTGGAACTGCTTATTACCACACCATAACCTAACAAAAGCTAACCAAAATGTATATATTTTAAAAAGGAAATTGAATCACAGATTCCTATCCATTTCAGTTTAAGAGAGTCTCTCTGATATATTAAGCACTTAGCAAGGGTAGAATCATTTGGTCTGGCCCTACTAAAGCAACTGCAGGCAGAACTAGAAATTCAATAAATCAATAGCAGGCTAATTTTTAAGTTGATGATTTTGTATGGCCTGTGAATGATCTTGGAAATAGCCAATGTCCCTTGGCAGAAAAAAAGTTCCCCAGCCCTGAAAGCTTCCAGTGTATGGTCGAAGAAATTTTGGCTTTTTCTAAATTTTTATTTATCTTCTTAAGACAGAGACAGGGATAGACAGAAGGACAGAAGAGTTTCCATCCCCTGGTTCACTGCCCAACTACCTGCAACTGGCAGAGCTGGGCCAGGCTGAACCAGGGAACTGGGAACTCAATCCAAGTGTTCCAGGTTTCAATCACTTAAGTCACCATCTGCTGCTGCACAGGCTGGTGAGTATTAGCAAAAAGTTGGAATCAGGAGAGGAATGGGGTCTTGAACCCAGGAACTCCAACATGGAAGGCAAGTGTCTTAACTGCAAAGCCAAATGTCTGCCCCCAAAAATCTTAAAAGCGTGACTTCCAAATATTTGGCTCTCATAAACCAAAAAAATTTTCTCCCAAATTTTATGAAGTTAAAAACTATCTTTCCTCCAAAATAATCAAACATCTGAAAACTAAAAATGAAGAAAGGACAAAAATCGGTTCATACTTTCAAAAAAGGACAGGACCAGTGCTGTGGTGTAGTGGGCTAAGCTTCCACCTGCAGTGCCAGCATCCCACATGGGCACTGGTTCCAGTGTCGATTGCTTCTCTTCCAATCCAGCTCTCTGCTATGACCTGGGAAAGCAGTATAAGACGGCCCAAGTGCTTGAGTCCCTGCACCCAAATGGGAGACCTGGAAGAAGCTCCTGGCTCCTGGTTTGAGATCAGCTCAGCTCCAGCCATTGCAGCCATCTGGAGAGTGAACCAGCAGATAGAAGACCTCTCTGTCCCTCTCTCTGTAACTCTGCCTCTCAAATAAATAAAAATCTTAAAAAAAAAAAAAAAAAAAAGACGGCCTTTCCATTGTACATATCTAGATTTATGGAAGAATTCCATATTCCCTGTGAAAATTTTGTCACATAGTTCAGCACTGGTCTACAAAGTCATGTCAGGGAATTATTAACCAAAAAAATAAACTGATACTGGACACTTTTTGTGCATTCAACTTTAGATACAAAAAACATTAATACTAAAAATGCTTATTTTTAAAATTTAAGAAAAAGAAGTATATGCATATTTGTTTGCTAAATGAGAACCTCACAGAAAATCTGCTCAAAGTACCAGAGAGGCATTGTATTCCAACACAAAGGTTCAGTAATAATGCCTGAAGGGGCCCGGGCTGTGGTGCGGCAGGTTAAGCTGCCACCTGTGACTCCTGCCTCCCATTTCAGAGTGCTGTTTGAGTCCAATCCAGATTCCTGCTAATGTACCTGGGAAAGCAGCAGAAGATGGGAGACCAGGATGGAGTTCCTGACTCCTGGCTTAGCCCTGGCCCAGATATGGTTGCTGTGGTCATTTGGAGGATGAATCAGCAAATGAAAGATCTCTGGCTGTCTCTCGCTCGCTCTCTCTCTGACACTCTGTATTTCAAGTTAATAAGTAGATAAAATCTTTTTTTTTAAAGAAAATTAATAATACTTGGAAAATCCAGCAGAGCTATAAGTGAGCAAGCATAAGTCAAGCCTAACTACTCAGAAAGACACTGAATGGGAGTTTAACACTTGGTCATTTCCCATAACAAGAAAAGTTGTTATGTAATCTATTATAAGTAATTATTACATTTAGTCATAAATCTCAAAACTGGTTAAGTACTATATATTTATATAAATACACTAAAAACCACAGTACTATCAGAGAGATCACATCAAATAAAACTATACTTGACTGATTTTATACAAACTATTTTGTTTTATTTAAATGTTGGTGCATTCCTTTGAATACCCAATAAGTGCTTAGTTGCATAACAGGTTCAAAAATGTAAGAATTATGCCTATTTAATTTGCTTTTTGCGGCACCCAAACAGTAGGATGCCTCTAAGGCTGCTCAGTTCTCTTCCCTACTTTCATTTAAAGACCCAACCTTGTATAAGCTAAAGTCCTCACCAATTTCCCTCAATAACTAACTCCTCCCATTTTAAGGAAAAATATTTTTAAAAGCCCCAGTAAGTAGCCTTTTATATATCAGTTTCATCATCTGACCTCCTTAGCTTTGCCATTTATTATCTAAAAATCCTTTTTCTTGAAGAACTGACCATCTGACCACCTTTCTCAGCTCATATCCCACACAATTCCAAAGTAATTTTCTGGTTTTCTCATGTTCATTCTGACACCAATTTCTTCTATCCCGTCATCATCCCATTGCCAAACCCTACGAAAATTCATCAGAACAAAGGGGAAGTGAACAGGCATTCAGCTTAGCTATTAAAACAATTAAGATGCCCAAGTCCTGTGGCACAATGGGTTAAGTCACCATTTAAGATGCCTATCTTCCATATCAGAGTACCTGGGATGATGTCTCGCCTCCACTTCTAATTCCAGCTTCCCATTAACGCCCACCCTGTGAGACAGAAGATGATGTCCCAAGTACTTTGGTCCCTGCCACTCACATGCAAGACTCAGATGGAGTTCCTGTCTCCTGGCTTCAGCCTGGCACAGTCTTGGCTGTTGCAGGCATTTAGAGAGTGAACCACTGGATGGAATATATCTCTTCTCTCATCACTCTTTCAAATAAATAAATATACGATAAATAAGCCTAAAATAAAGAAGCCCATGTACCATATCAGAGTACCTGGGTTTGATACTCAGTTCTGGCCCTCACTCTAACGCAGACACTGGCAGATGGGGAGTGATGGTACAGCGTTTGGGTTCCTGCCACCCATGTAGGAGACCTAGACTGAGTTACCGGCTCCCAGATTCATCTCCCGCCCAGTTCTGTATGTTGTGGACATTTGGGGAATGAACTAGCAAATATGACCAATTTCTCTCTACGCCTCTGTCAAACAGATTTTAAAAAGAACACCAGGGAACACCACTGTCCCATTTATGTGGCCCACAGATCTTGACTACTGAATCATACTGAAGAACTCTTTTCTCCATTTGAACTAATCTTCCAGCTACTGCTAAAATCATTTATCATTTTTACCCCTTTGATTTCATATAGGCTC